ATAGGACCTTGTGTGTTAAATAGACTCATCACCTTCTTGCGGAAACAAGTTAAAAATGTTAAACTCATGATCATAAGACAACAGTATGTCACATTAAAAGATACAAAAACAAATCTCTAAGATTAGAGATCCTCACAACAAGGAGTGGGGAATGAAGAGTTAAAATTGTATATGTGCGGGTGTAAAAAGTTAAGCTTAAGCTTACAGGTTTAAACCTTCCTGGTACAGCTGTAAAAATAAGACAGAGTGAAGTAGCACCTTGACAGCAGGGACTCCATTTTGGAGCACTTGAGACTCCATTCTGAGAAAGCACCCCCCACCGTGAGACTCTGGTCTGAAACTATGATCTCAAATAGTCGGACAATAGCAGTGCACTACATCACCCTTGGCAACACACAAAAACCCCCTAGCATGATTGCTCAAGCTTAAAAGTAGAAAGGTTGCACCTGGGTTACCTGGGCTAATAATGAAGATGTGATTTGTCTGTGTCTTACATTAATGTCAAGTCCTAATTGCTGATTGTAATATTGTAACTGATGTTGTCAAGATTATGATAAATATTAATTTCACTTAGGTTTTAGGTTATGTTGACCCCAGTAACCATATAGTCTTTTGATTTTATGTACTCTCTTTTGATTTTAGCAACTGTGTATAGCAACCGTGCATAGCAACCATGTATTCCCCCCTTCCCGGTTTTGCGGTTTTTGCCTTTATAAACCCTAACCTTTGGTTATTCGGGGCTGCTCTGTTCATGTATGATCAGACAGCCCCAGCATGCTGGATAATCAATAAAGCTTCCCCTTGCTGTTTGCATAAGAGATGTCTCTTGGTGACGTTTTTCGGGCAGTCGACTCTAACAATAGAGAGGTAGAGAGAGATACATAGTGATAGAGAGAGAGAGAGAGAGGCCTGCAGTGCCTGCATCCCGTAGGGGCCCCGGTCTTCCGATCCAGCTTTCTGCTATGGCTGGGAAGCAGTAGAGGATTTGCCCAAGTCCTCGGGCAGGGCCCTGGGCCTGTGTGTGTGGGAGACCCAGACCCAGACCCAGACCCAGACCCAGAAGAAGCTCCGGATCCAGGCTTCGGAACAGCTCAGCTCTGGCTGTTGTGGCCATTTGGGGAGTGAAACAGCGAGTGCAAGACCTCTCTCTCCCTCTCTGGAACTCTGCCTTTCAAATCAATCAACATATCTGTAATAAAAAGTGTTTTTTAAAAGGATTGATTTTCTTGTTACCACCACAGTCACGCTAATTAACATACCACCTCCTCGCTTTCTTCGGATTTTTTTTTTTAGAAAGTTGATTGTATTTTCGTTTTTAAAGATTTTATTTATTGGGGACGGCTCTTTCGCACAGCGGGTTAAAGCCCCAGCCTGCATCGCCAACAGCCCATATGGGCACTGATCTTTCTTTCTTTCTTTATTAACTTTTATTTAACAAATCTAAATTTCCAAAGTACAGCTTGTAGATTACCGTGGCTTTTTCCCCCCATAACTTGCCTCCTTCCCGCAACCCAATCCTCCCATCTCCCGCTCCCTCTCCCATTCCATTCACATCAAGATTCATTTTCAATTATCTTTATATACAGAAGATCAATATAGTATATAGTAAGTAAAGATTTCAACTGTTTGCACCCACACAGAAACACAAAGCGTCAAGTACTGTTTGAGTACTAGTTATAGGAAGAATTCACATTTTACAACACGTGAAGGGCAGAGATCCTACATGAGGAGGAAGTGCACAGTGACTCCTGTTGTTGACTAAGAAATTGACACTCTTGTTTCTGGGGTCAGTAATCACCCTAGGCTATTGAGTTGCCTAGGTTAGGGAAGCCTTTTGAGTTTGCCAACTCCCATCTTATTTAGACAAGGTCATAGTCAAAGTGGAAATTCCCTTCAGAGAAGGGTACCTCCTCCTTTGATGGCATGTTCTTTCCACTGGGATCTCTCTCACTCGCAGAGATCTTTCATTTAGGTTTTTTTTTTTTTTTTCCAGAGTGTCTTGGCTTTCCATGCCTAAAATGCTCTCATGGGCTCTTCAGCCGGATCCGAACATCTTAAGGGCTGATTCCGAGGTAAATTGGCATCTGTTAATCCCATGTATCTGATAAGCTCTTCAAGTGCTACATCTGTCAATCTGGTCTAGGGTGTGACTTAATACCGTCAGGAGTTGGCTCTGTTCTAGAAAGGAGCCGTCCGGGTGGCAGGGGGCAGACAAACACAGACGCTGGAGAAGAAGCAGCTTCGGAAATACTGCCGGTCCGAGTCGTGATGTCGAGTGAGCAAGTGGCCGAGGCGGGTGGGCGAGAGGTTGGCTGTGCAGGGCTTGCTTGGTGGTAGGCCAAGCCATGCCGGCACCAGGTTGGCCGTTGGCGGGATCGCTGGCTTATAGCAATGGAGCAAACAGGAGCACAGTTTGCTACTGGGCTCCCGCCAGCAGTGAGTGAGTGTCCGTCGTCTCTCCCATCCTTTTGGATGCCCGTGACTGGCATACAGTTAACACGGCAGCCAGTTGGGTCTCTCTCCCATAATCTCTGGTCTGTGACGCACTTCCCAAGCCATCGAGGGGACAGGGCTGCATCACTGTTTTAGACACCATTCTGCTTCCTCTTGAATGCTCATTGCCTGTTTCTGACCTTTCTCATTTTAAAGAACTGTGCGTTTCGTTTTTGGTTGTTTTGTAGAGTATCTTTGTTGTCTCCCAGAAACTCTGATGTTGGTTGCACAGAAAACCTTCCAGTCTTGAAACTTGTGTTTTCAATTTGCTTAGCAGTTTCACTGTTCAGATCTTTTAAATGTTTATGTGACACAGGGTGGAAATTGATTTTAAACCATTTGATTGGGGAACAACTGTTTGGAAACCTAAGCAGATAAGAGGTCTTCACAAAGTGTGTGGGAAACTAGGGGTGAAGCAAAAGTGATGGGGACAGTGGCCGTGGCTCACTCAGTTAATCTTCTGCCTGTGGCGCTGGCATCCCATATAGGTGCTGGGTCCTAGTCCTGGTTGCTCCTCTTCCAGTCCAGCTCTCTGCTGTGGCCCAGGAAGGCAGTGGAAGATGGCCCAGGTGCTTGGGCCCTGCACCCGCATGGGAGACCAGGAGGAAGCACCTGGCTCCTGGCTTCAGATCGGCACAGCGCGAAGGCCGGCTGTATTGGTCATTAGGGGAGCGGGGGTGAACCAACGGAAGGAAGACCTTTCTGTCTGTTTCTCCCTCACTGTCCAACTCTGCCCGTCTAAATATAAAAAGAAAAGAAAAAGTTATGCATGGCTTTCAAAAAATTGTTTTTTGCACCAGAATGAACCCATTTTTTGACTCATTTTTTCCATGCATTTCTTAGTCTCTCTGTATTTTCTCATGTTTTCCTTTGCATTGGAACAACCTAGTGTAGAGTGCATTTCTTGTCTGGAGACACAGATACAATCTTTCTCTTTTAAAAAGTTTTGTTTAAAGTGTTCGTTGATGGGGCCGGCGCTGTGGTGCAGTGGGTTAAAGCCCTGGCTGGAAGTGCAGGCATCCCATATGGGCTCTGGTTCAAGTCCAGGCTGCTCCTCTTCTGATCCCGCTCTCTGGCATGGCCTGGGAAAGCAGGAAAAGATGGGCCCCTGCACCCACATGGGAGACCGGGAAGAAGCTCCTGGCTCCTGCCTTTGGATTGGCACAGCTCATGTCATTGTGGCCAGTTGGGGAGTGAACCAGTGGATGGAACACTCTCTCTCTCTCTCTGTCTCTCTCTCGCTCTGTCTCTCCTTCTTTCTCTGTGTAACTCTGACCATCAAATAAATGAATAGACCTTTTTTTTTTTTGAAAAAAGAAAGTATATCCTTGAATGCAAGTTTTATAATAAAAATAAGCTCTCCCACATGGGTGCAGGGGTCCCTTCATTTGCGCCGTCCTCTGCTGCTTCCCTAGGCACATGAGCGGGGAGCTGCATAGGCAGTGGAGCAGCTGGGCCTTGCCCCAGTGTCCATATGGGATACCAGTGTTGCCAGTGGTGGGTTTTACCCACTCTGCCACAATGCCAGGCGCCTTCTGAAATTGAAAAAAAACTTTTACTTTGTGTGTGTATTTGCTTGGGTAGCTGCAATGGCCAAGGGCTGGTGCAATCCAAAGCCAGGAGCCGGGAGCTCCATCTGGGTCTTCCATGTGGGTGTGGGGGCCTGAGTACTTGGGCCATCTTCTACTGCTTTCCCAGGTGCATTTGCAGGGAGCTAGGTGGGAAGTGGAGCAACTGGGACTCCAACTGGGACTCTGGGATAGGAACCCAGCATTGCAAGGCCTCCCAGGGGCCAGCCCCAGTGGCTGCATTCTAACCACGCACATGTGCTTCTGGCCTCCTTCTCCTCTGCCTGCGGCTCTTTCTCCATCTCTTTCCATCCCCTCCATGGCTGAGGGCTTCCTCCAAAGCCCTATGCAGTTTTTCTCTCTCTCTGTCTCTCTCTCTGTCTTTCTCATGAGCTGGGAGAAAACTGCGAGCTTGGCACTTGCCTTCACAGGCTGTGGGTGTGGGTGTGTATGAATGTATGTATGTGTGTGTTTGTCTGTGTGTGTCTTGTTTGTGTTTGTGTGTGGGTTTGTATATATGTTTGCATATGTGTGTATGTACATGTGTGTATCTTTCTGTGTGTGTCTGTATGTGTCTGTCTTTGTGTTAGTGTGTGGGTTCTTATGTATGTATGTGTGTGTATGTATGTATGTATGTCGTGGGTGTGTGGGTGTGTATGTATGAGTATGTATGTGTGTGTGACTTTCTGTGTCTGTGTCTTACTGTGTGTGTGGGTTTGTATTTATGTGTATATGTGTGTGTGTGTGTGTGTGTGTGTGGCAGCAGGACATCTTCCCCTCGTGAAGCTCAAGCTCACGGCGAAAATGCATGACCATGAGATCAGGCTCTGCCTTCCAGGGTGCATTTTCCAAAATTCCTTTGGGAGACCCAGGCAAAGAGGAGAGACCCCGAGAGGGCTGCTGTCTACCGGCTCGCTCCCGAAATGCATGCAGTGGCTGCTGGAGCCAAAGCCGGCATCAGGATGGCCAATGGATTCTTTCTGAAAGCAAACCAAAGCCCTTTGTTCCTGTTCCCTCTGCAGCGCCCAGGTGTGCTCGCCGCAGCCGCACGGCCTTTACCCCCGACCAGTTGGGGATGTTGAAAGCTGTTTTCGAAACGACCCCCTGTCCTGACTGGGAGAAGATACAAGAGTTAGCGGCAAAGCTATGTTTGGATGAGTGTGTGATCAAGGTATGTCCCGAGCCCTGCGCCCTCCGTGCCACGCACTCACTCGCTTGCGGTCACCGCTGTGCTGGCCGCTCAGGGCAGTCGCCAATGCGCGTGCTTCGCAGTCCCTGCAAAGCTGGCAGGCAGAGGCTGCCGCGGGGCTGGTCCCGAAGTCCCTGCGGGTGGGCCCTTGACAAGATAGACTGCCCCTGGCGCTCGCGGCTGCCTTGGGGCAGAAGAGTTCAAGTGTGAGCAGGTGGCCAGGACTATGCCTGGTGGATGGCTCCGCCCAGCCCGCGGGAGCCAGCCAAGGGCCGCCCGCGCAGGCCAGGCGGAGCGAACACGTGTGTGCGGGGAGCGCGTTTCCAAAGTGTATTTCTTTAAATGTATTGTGTGAGAGGCAATGAGACAGAATTTCTTTTTTAAGATTTATTTATTATTTATTTGAAAGAGTTTGAGGCGGCTTAGACCCCATGGCCGAATGACCCCACCAGGCCTCCCCTCCGAGGGTCTCCGCACCTCTCAGTACTGTGTCCTTAGAGACCGAGCTCCCAGAACGTGAGCCTTTGTGGTGCAAAGCCTAGCGCGCAAAGTTCTAGGTCTGCAGCAGAGGATCGCTTGGGAGCAGGGCAGAGGCTGCCCGGCCCCCTCCCCTTTACCTGATGCCTGCGGCTCCCTCCCGGGCCCGGCACAGCGTTTGAGAAAGAGGCTTGAGCCCAGCGTGCCCACGCCACAAGGGCCCCGAGCTTCTGAGGCCCATGGGGTCTCCCTGGGGTCCTTGCCCCTGGAGTAACCTGTTCCCTCCCTTCCTCCCCAGACCTGGTTTAAAAATCAGCGCGCCCAGCAAAGAAAACTGCAGCGAAAGGGCCAGCCCCGCCAGCCCGGCGAGTCCCCACCACCACCAGGTTCAGAGCTCAGCGCACCTTCGCAGGAAGATCACGGCCCTGAGAGCTCCCAGGCGCATGGCCCCGAGGCTGCCGAAGACCCGCTGCCCGCCGATCTGCAAAATATCCATGTGGACTCCTCAGCGCCCTGGGCTTCGTTGCCCCATGACATCGGGGAGCTGGTGCGCATGTACGGCTTGTTCGATGACGACGAGCCCGACGACTAGCAGATATCTGAACCCCCAGACTTCAAGGGCCAAATTTTCCCAGTCCTAGAAAAAAGAAAGAAGAAAAAAAGAATGAAGCATGTAGGAGCCCCTGCCGGCGACCTGGAGACAGCCCTGAAGGGACCACTCCTCTGCCTCGTTCTTTGCAAAACTAAACGTGTTGGGATTTTGGGGAGATCTCTGGGCTGGTCGGAGGCATCACAGCCTGGAGGCTGGTTTTCTGTAGTGTGTGGACGTTTTGTAACGGTGAACTTAGATGTTTTTGAAGTGCTTAAAGAAGAGGATTTATGGGGTTCCTGAGGGCAGTCAGGTGGGCCTGGTGACCTGGCCGCGGCCTTGGCCCCCAGCCGCCACCAGAGAGTCCGGGGTCGCCGCCACCGTGGAGCGCCAGGGGGCGCCATCGTAGACAACGCGCAAGCCGGGCCGCGGCTGGAACTCTGCCTTTCCAATCCATCAACACATCTGTACCAAAAAGTGTTTTTTGAAAAGATTGATTTTCTTGTGACCACCACAGTCACGCTAATTAACATACCACCTCCTCGCTTTCTTAGGATGTTTTTGCAGAAGGATGATTGTCTTTTCATTTTTAAAGATTGGATTGATTGGGGCCGGCGCTGTAGCACAGCGGGTTCAACCTCCAGCCTGCAGCGCCAACAGCCCATATGGGCACTGGTCTTTCCAATAAAATAAAGTAAAATCAAATAACATAAATCGTTGTTTGAGGATGTTGTTATTGAATTCTTGGAGAGGTAGAGCTGCAGACAGTGAGAAGAAGAGACAGGGAGAAAGGTCTGCCTTCCGTTGCTTCACGCCCCAAATGGCCACAAGGGTCAGAGCTGTGCCAATGGGGAGCCGGGAGCCAGGGGCTGGGGTTCACCTCTTCAAGCGGCACATCTGTCAATCAGGTCTAGGGTGTGACTTAGGGAGGGTCCATCAAAGACTTCATACCATGCCAAGTTGGCTTCCTTCTCTAAAGGAGCCATCCTTTAGCCAGGCGGGCGGGCGGCAAGGGGCAGACAAGCGCAGACGCTGGAGAAGCAGCAGCTTCGGAAATACTGCCGGTCCGCGTCCTGATGTCGAGTGAGCAAGTGGCCGAGGCGGGTGGGCGAGAGGTTGGCTGTGCAGGGCTTGCTTGGTGGTAGGCCAAGCCATGCCGGCACCGGCTTGGCCGTTTGCGGGATCGCTGGCTTCTGGCAATGGAGCAAACAGGAGCACAGTTTGCTGCAGGGCTCCCGCCAGCAGTGAGCGAGTGTCCGTCGTCTCTCCCATCCTTTGGGATGCCCGTGACTGTCATACTGTTAACACGGCAGCCAGTGGGGTCTCCCAGAAACTCTGGTGTTGCTGGCACAGAAAACCTTCCAGTCTTTGGCTTGTGTTTTCCACTTGCTTCCGAGTTGCACTGTTCAGATATTTTAAATGTCCATGTGACGCAAGGCTACTAGAAAAGTTCATGGAAATGGATTTTAAAACATTGACTTGGGCAAAAACTGTTTGGAATCCACCTATGCAGATAAGGGGTCTTCAGAAAGTTCCTGGGAAAATAGGTAGGAAGAAAAAGTTATGCATGGCGTTCCAAAACATTCTTTTTGCCCCAGAATGAGCTCAGTTTTTGACTCCTATTTCCATGCATTTCTTAGTCTCTCTGTATTTTCTCCCATTTTCCTTTGCCTTGGAAAACCCTAGTGTAGAGTGCATTTCTTGTCTGGAGACACAGACACAATCTTTCTCTTTGAAAACCGTGTGTTGAAAGAGTGAGTTGATGGGGCCGGCGCTGTGGTGCAGCGGCTTAAAGCCCCGGCCTGAAGGGCAGGCATCCCATACGGGCGCCGCTTCGAGTCCGGGCGCCGCTTCGAGTCCCGGCTGCTCCTTTTCTGATCCAGCCCTCTGCTATGGCCTGGGAAAGCAGTAGAACACAGCCCAAGTCCTTGGGCCCCTGCACCTGCATGGCAGACCCGGAAGAAGCTCCTGGCTCCTGCCTTTGCATTGGCACAGCTCGAGCCATTGTGGCCAGTTGGGGAGTAACTCTGACCTTCAAAGAAATGAATCCATCTTTTTTTTTTTTTTCAAAAAAGAACAAAGAAAGAAAGAAAGTCTATCCTAATGTGAGTTTTATAATAAAAATAAGCTCTCCCACATGGGTGCAGGGGTCCCATCACTTGCGCCGTCCTCTGCTGCTTCCCTAGGCACATGAGCAGGGAGCTGCATAGGCAGCGGAGCAGCTGGGCCTTGCCCCAGTGTGCATATGGGACGCCAGTGTTGCCAGTGGTGGGTTTTACCCACTCTGCCACAATGCCAGGCGCCTTCTGAAAATGAAAAACCATTTCCTTTGCATGTGTATTTGCATGGGTAGCTGCAATGGCCAAGGGCTGGTGCAATCCAAAGCCAGGAGCCGGGAGCTCCATCTGGGTCTCCCACGTGGGTGTGGGGGCCTGAGTACTTGGGCCATCTTCTACTGCTTTCCCAGGTGCATTTGTAGGGAGCTGGGTGGGAAGTGGAGCAGCTGGGACTCCAACTGGGACTCTGGGATAGGAACCCAGCATTGCAAGGCCTCCCAGGGGCCGGCCCCAGTGGCTGCATTCTAACCACGCACATGTGCTTCTGGCCTCCTTCTCCTCTGCCTGCGGCTCTTTCTCCATCTCTTTCCAACCCCTCCATGGCTGAGGGCTTCCTCCAAAGCCCTATGCAGTTTTTCTCTCTCTCTGTCTCTCTCTCTGTCTTTCTCATGAGCTGGGAGAAAACTGGGAGCTTGGCACTTGCCTTCACAGGGTGTGGGTGCAGGTGTGGGTGTGGGTGTGGGTGTGGGTGTGAGTGTGTGGGTGTGTATGTATGCATGTATGTGCATTTAGGTATGTATGCGTGTGTGTGTGGGTGGATGTGTGTGTGTTCTTGTGTATGTATGTGTGTGTTTCTGTGTGTCTGTGTGTGTGTGTGGACGTGTGTGGCAGCAGGACATCTTCCCCTGGTGAAGTTCAAGCTCACGTCGAAAATGCATGACCATGAGATCAGGCTCTGCCTTCCAGGGTGCATTTTCCAAAATTCCTTTGTGAGACCCTGGCAAAGAGGAGAGACCCCGAGAGAGAGCGCTGGTGTCTCCCGAGCAACCGGGGACCAGGTCACGCCCCAAATGTCTGCATCAGGAACTCCAATGGATTCCTGCTTAAAGCAAACCAAAGGCCTGTGTTGCTGTTCCCTCTGCAGTGCCCAGGTCCTCTCGCCGCAGCCGCACGGCCTTTACCCCCGACCAGCTGGGCATGCTGCAAGCTGTTTTAGAAACCAGCCGCTGCCCAGATTGGAGCCGAGTCCAAGAGTTAGCGTCCGAGCTTCATCTGGATGTGTATGTGATCCAGGTATGTCCTGAGCCCGGCGCCCTCCGCTCCGCGCCGCGCACTCACTTGCTGTGGTCACCGCTGCGCTGGCTGCTCAGGGCAATGGCCAATGCGCGCGCTGCGCTTCGCAGTTCCCCCGAGGCTGGCAGGCAGAGGCTGCCCCGGGACTTGTCCCGAACTTCCTGCGCGTGGGCACTTGACAAGAAAGACTCCCCCGGGCGGGCGGGCGGACGGGGCCCTCGCGGCTGCATTGCGGTGGCGGTTGTGGGCGCAAGAGTTCAAGTCTGAGCCGGCCGGCGGTGGCGGCCAGGACCGCGCCTGGTGGATGGCGCCGCCCAGCCCCAGCGCGGGGAGCCAGCCGAGAGCCGCCCGCGCAGGCTGAGCCAACACGTGTGTGCAGGGAGCGCGTTTAAATGTATTGGATGAGACGCAATGAGACCGACTTTTTTTTTTAAGATGTATTTATCTCTTTGAACGAGTTCGAGGCAGAGAGAGGTGTCTTCCATCGGCCGGTTCACTGCCCCCAGGGCCCACGGCGGCTGCGCGCGACCCCATGGCCGAATGACCCCACCAGGCCTCCCCTCCGAGGGTCTCCGCACCTCTCAGTACTGTGTCCTTAGAGACCGAGCTCCCAGAACGTGAGCCTTTGTGGTGCAAAGCCTAGCGGGCAAAGTTCTAGGTTCTGCTGTGGAGGATCGCTTGGGAGCAGGGCAGAGGCTGCCCGGCCCCCTCCCCTTTACCTGATGCCTGCGGCTCCCTCCTGGGCCCGGCACAGCGTTTGAGAAAGAGGCTTGAGCCCAGCGTGCCCATGCCACAAGGGCCCCGAGCTTCTGAGGCCCATGGGGTCTCCCTGGGGTCCTTGCCTCTGGAGTAACCTGCTCCCTCCCTTCCTCCCCAGACCTGGTTTAAAAATCAGCGCGCCCAGCAAAGAATACTGCAGCGAAAGGGCCAGCCCTGGAGGGACCACTCCTCTGCCTTGTTCTTTACAAAAGCAAATGTGCTGGGAGTTTGGGGGGCTCTCTGGGCTGGTCTGAGGCATCACAGCCTGGAGGCTGGTTTTCTGTAGTGTGTGGACGTTTTGTAATGGTGAACTTAGATACTTGTGAAGTGCCACAAGAAGACGATTTATGGGGTTCCTGAGGGCAGGTAGACAGAGATACATAGTGATAGAGAGAGAGAGAGAGAGAGGCCTGCAGTGCCTGCATCCCGTAGGGGCCCCGGTCTTCCGATCCAGCTTTCTGCTATGGCTGGGAAGCAGTAGAGGATTTGCCCAAGTCCTCGGGCAGGGCCCTGGGCCTGTGTGTGTGGGAGACCCAGACCCAGACCCAGACCCAGAAGAAGCTCCGGATCCAGGCTTCGGAACAGCTCAGCTCTGGCTGTTGTGGCCATTTGGGGAGTGAAACAGCGAGTGCAAGACCTCTCTCTCCCTCTCTGGAACTCTGCCTTTCAAATCAATCAACATATTTGTAATAAAAAGTGTTCTTTAAAAGGATTGATTTTCTTGTTACCACCACAGTCACGCTAATTAACATACCACCTCCTCGCTTTCTTCGGATTTTTTTTTTTAGAAAGTTGATTGTATTTTCGTTTTTAAAGATTTTATTTATTGGGGACGGCTCTTTCGCACAGCGGGTTAAAGCCCCAGCCTGCATCGCCAACAGCCCATATGGGCACTGATCTTTCTTTCTTTCTCTTTTTAACTTTTATTTAACAAATCTAAATTTCCAAAGTACAGCTTGTAGATTACCGTGGCTTTTTCCCCCCATAACTTGCCTCCTTCCCGCAATCCAATCCTCCCATCTCCCGCTCCCTCTCCCATTCCATTCACATCAAGATTCATTTTCAATTATCTTTATATACAGAAGATCAATATAGTATATAGTAAGTAAAGATTTCAACTGTTTGCACCCACACAGAAACACAAAGCGTCAAGTACTGTTTGAGTACTAGTTATAGGAAGAATTCACATTTTACAACACGTTAAGGGCAGAGATCCTACATGAGGAGGAAGTGCACAGTGACTCCTGTTGTTGACTAAGAAATTGACACTCTTGTTTCTGGGGTCAATAATCACCCTAGGCTATTGAGTTGCCTAGGTTAGGGAAGCCTTTTGAGTTTGCCAACTCCCATCTTATTTAGACAAGGTCATAGTCAAAGTGGAAATTCCCTTCAGAGAAGGGTACCTCCTCCTTTGATGGCATGTTCTTTCCACTGGGATCTCTCTCACTCGCAGAGATCTTTCATTTAGGTTTTTTTTTTTTTTTTTTTCCAGAGTGTCTTGGCTTTCCATGCCTAAAATACTCTCATGGGCTCTTCAGCCGGATCCGAACATCTTAAGGGCTGATTCC